GAGAATCTGTTTGGTATGTGAGTTGACTACTAATGCCTTTCTACTGTATGTCTTTATTGCCATGTAAACTCATTTACCCAATGGGAAAATGGGTTTTAGATTCAGAAGTTGATGTTGTTACCAATGGTGGGAGTGATTGATTTTGCCTCATTTGTGTTTTAGGAAATCACTGACCTCTTATGTCTTATTATATGGAGAATGTACAATATTTAGAAACAAATGTTTTCAATGGAAAGAAGGGTTGAAATTCTGCTCTGCAATGCTCTTACCTTTTTCTATACGGTGACGGAAGGAACATGGACTAGCACAATCTGTCAATTTTATGTTCAATTGAAGATGGAACTTTATCTGCAAATTACATCACTATTTGATCGTGTGCAGAGTTATAGTTTTTTCTGAATTATTGGATAAGCTTCTAAACGAAATTTCAGGCTATTCAGAAAATTGTAAGCATTGGAAAATGTTGGCATAGCTTATAGTGGTAATTGCGCAAATGCACATTGAATCAAATGTCTTGATCAGTATGAATTTTGAGAAAAATACTGGTCAGTAGTTAATTATTATTATTATTATTATTATTATTGTTAATTATTATTATTATCATTATAGCAATATGTGTTTTCTAACCAAAAGATATTACTTGAGTGGTGCTTTCAGACTAATTTGTCTTGTTCTTGTCTTAAGCAGTCGTCTATTCATCTTTGATTCCCTTGTGACTTGTGAAAGTAATATTCGACTAAATGTCTTTTAAAGTGGCAACCAGTGGAAGTGATCGAAGTCAGATATGGTTGAAAACTTCGAACATAGTCCTATGATAGCCATTTAGATTGTCACATTGCTTTTATTAATGACACATGCAAATCTATTAACTTTTTGGTTAGTTTTGTTATTTTCATAAATTGAATCTGAAGTACCACGGTACGCATTTACATGTTGAAGAAAAATATCTTGTTCTTGTCTTAAGCAGTCGTCTATTCATCTTTGATTCCCTTGTGCCTTGTGAAAGTAATATTCAACTACTTAATGTCTTTTAAAGTGGCAACGAGTGGAAGTGATTGACGTCAGATATGGTTGAAAGTTTCAAACATAGGCCTATGGCAGCCATATAGGTTGTCACATTGCTTTTATTAGTGACACATGCAAATCTATTAACGTTTTGGTTAGTTTTGTTATTGTCATAAATTGAATCTGAAGTACCACGATACGCATTTACATGTTGAAGAAAAATACTGTAAATGTGCAATATCATAATTACAAATGTGATAAAATAGTAATAACAATCTTCATTCATGTGTTTCAAGTTACGATTAGGAGTTTGCAAGGTTAAGCATGTAGGCAACTCAATAAGTGATGTGAGAGTTAAACTATCTCGCTTTATGCATTGTTTTCTCATTTTGCTACAATTTGCTAAGATTTTGTGAATAAAGTTTTTCGTGTGGATCAACCTTATATCCAATTCACGATAGAAAACCATCTAGTTTATCTGATATCAACATTTCAATGTCTATACAGTTTTTGATTTTTTAATCTATAATTACTATTATTGTTCTTATTTTATTCTAGCTTTATAATCCTGATATTATGGACCAAAGTACACATTGCAAGGTAGATAAATCACATTAAGATAAATATACAACAGTATATGCCTTGTCTCAAATACATGCATTAGTACATGCGTACATGAATTAAATATACTAAATTGCATCGAAGATGAATATACATCAATATAAGTGCATTAATTATAAGCTACAGTTATTTAGTTGTTTAAGAACACTACAAATATCTAGGTAAATTTACATTAGATATAAGGAAATTAATATAGATATAATCTATATCTAGGTTAATTACATATTTACTAAAAATACATTACTTTCCGACTTGGGTGCACAATAAAAGTGCATCCTGGTCTTCTAAGTGTATTAGTCAACAGAATTTGATTTTCCATTTTCAAGTGCGTTTTCATTTGCTCTCTAACACTTGTATATTTATTTATGAATGTAAGATCTTAGGGAACTTGAAGGAAGATTCTTCAGCATTAATGCTATATTCTGTGATGAAGAACTTAAAAGATCTTGGTTATATGCTGAAGGTAATTTTTNNNCCCAACACACCCACCCCACCCCTCACACACACATTTGATGGTAATTAAATTTTTTTATTGTTCTGTTCGTGATAGTTGCTGATCTCAGAATACTGGATGACAAAGTTACATAATAAACATATCAGCAATGACTGGAATTCAGAATTCTTATAATTGCTTATCTGGAAACTTAAGTCATTGTTCTGGAACTTTGTCATATCTATATATACTTTGATTCAAACTCTTGCTAATAAAAATTTGTCTCCAGTTAAATTTTCTATATACATATATAAGATTATTTGCATCTTTCTCATTTTGTCTTTCTACATTGAAATACGCAAAATGTATGTCTTTCACTGCAACAGACCAACCTAATGCATGTTAATGTTTCAATCATAAGTGGACTGTCTAGCTTTTGGTCGTAACTCGTAAGTGTCTTGGACATCCTAAAAGCTAATTTCCCTGATTTTGGAGATTTCATCCATTCTGTCCCTCATTGTAAATGGAGTTTGTGCATGTGCGAAAATTTCGCATGCTTCAGCATATCTGCTTTTGTAACAATCATCTGGTTTAATAACAAAATTATTATGTTCTCTTTATGTAAGGTTTTGTACGACTTTATACCTTGGCAGTTAGCACCAGTAGTTATATAAATTGTTGAAAAAATATCTACATAAATTATGTGTGCATTTATGAGCTGTTTATTGTTATTCCATCTACAGATTTATATCCTGGGAGATGGCAGAGCACGCTCCATCTGGCATGAAATTGGAGGGCAAGTCTCAATTTTAGGCCCCGAGAGATATGGCTACATTGATTGGTCCATGTATGTCTGCTCTTCCTTTTCATATTATTCAGACTCTAAGAAGCTCCATTTGCGAATCCTTATTAGTTTATACAGATGGGACAGTTGAATTATGTTTTTTCCTAACTGCAGATTTGAAGGTGTTATCGTAGACTCTCTTGAAGCTAAGGATGCCATTGCCAGGTAATGATTACATGCTAGAGACGAAAGGATTTTTTGTATCGTTCTTTGAGAATTTTCGAGATCCTTTATTCTTTAGTTCTGGCAGAATTGCTTAGTTTTATTTTGCAAATGATGCATGTGCATGTTGTGTTGTTTGGGTAGTCACTTTACCATAAACAATATTGTCCTTCTCACCTGGATACGCAGACACAAACAAGAGAAAAATATGAAAATCACAAGTAAAAAGGAAGAAAAATATTTTTGTTGCAGTAATCATTTTTTTTTCTTTTGTTCAGAATTCATTGAATTTGGTGTTTTCATTACGTACACAGAGCACAAAGAGAACCTTCAGTAAATATCGTGAAAACTCCATGTGGCGGTTAAGTAATCTAACTTTATTAGCATTAATATCATACAACCGAGCAAAGTTGTCAGGAACTAGATTAATGGAACACTGAGCTGCCACATAAGTCTGGCTTGTCAGCTTCTCAACAATGATGCTACCGTGATCATCATAAAGTTGAAAACTGCACTATAACATATGATCAATTATATGACTTCCCTGTTAACCTATGAATTTTGGGCACTTTCTGTCTCTGAAAATCTGATTGCGGTCAGTACAATGTATGACCAGAGTTCCAAGCTTGACACATGATTTTCACTTTCTTCGATTTCCTGCTCTTGTTCATTCCAGCTGCCATGATTTCTGTAATAATTTTTTTCTTAACCATCACCATGATATTCACTTTGAGAGTATACTAGTAATATAATATGCTTTTCCATGAATGTTACATTTAAAATAAGAAGTTGGGTTTCAACCTAATGTGCTGAAACTTGTGTTAAATATTCATTACAAATGCGAAACGAGAAAGATATTTGCTTGCATTCCTGCATACATAGATACCTAAGTGCGTATGTAAATACATGCATGCATACATAAATTCATCATACTCCTTGTATTTGTATACGTTACTGTTTCAAATAAATCGACCTGTTTATCAATTCTATCCTACAACTATTTGATGGGGAATGCTGTGCGGAGCAAATATGTTGCTATCATTTTGAGATGCTGGGATTTGTGAATTTTATATCTGTGCAGCCTTATGCAGGAGCCCTTCAGCTCTGTGCCTCTGATATGGATTGTTCAGGACTATACCCTTGCCAATCGCCTACAACTATATGAGAATAAGGGCTGGGACCGGCTCATTTCCAATTGGAAAAATGCCTTTAGTCGGGCTAATGCCGTGGTGTTTCCAGAATATTCTTTCCCGGTAACAGTTATCATGTGTATCTTTTATTCTCAAATGTGATATTTTATGGTTGTGCTATGCATTGTGTTATTTATTTAATGCACCTTCCATTGAATCAGATTTTATACAGCACATTTGACACTGGAAACTTTCATGTTATTCCTGGATCACCAGTAGATTTTTGGGCTGCTGAAAGCTTTAGTAAGACCCATTCGAAGTCTGAGTTGAGGAAAAAAAATGGTTTCAATGATGATGATTTTCTGGTAGTGATTCTTGGGAGTTCATTTTTCTTCTACGAGCTAGATTGGGATTATGCTGTAGCAATGCATGCTCTTGATCTTTTGCTCCAGAAGTATGTTGGACGAAATGATGTACCATTCACTTCAAAGTTTATTTTTCTTTGTGGAAATTCCAGCACAGACTACGGTGAAGCTTTACAGGTATGTATTTACAAATTGGATTGAGAAATATATTGTTTTAAAGCATTTGTCTATTTGGACTTTAAAATAATATATTTTTTATTGTTCACAGTATTATCAAATATCAACTAATGTTACAGTAATGCTTACCCGTTGGCAACATGTTTGAGTGTTATTGCAGTGCTAGCATCAGTTTTTTGACTTTCCAATTTGGTTGCTCTTTTCATAGTCTATGTATGTATTTAGTTGATCAGTAGTTGTTTTCTAGCAAAAATAATAGAAATGGAATTTGAAGTACCATGATGTCAGTATTAGGAGTTCTATTTGAATTTATAGCTGTTTATATCAGCTGTTTCTGAATGATCTATATCATCTATTGACCATCAACTGTATATCATGTAGGATGTTGCAGCCCGTCTGAGACTAAATCAAGGATCATTGAAGCATTATGGCCTCGATCGTGGTGTGAATGGTATAATAATGATGGCTGACATTATTCTTTATGCCCCTTCCCAAGACGTGCAGGGATTTCCTACCTTGTTGGCAAGAGCCATGGCATTTGGAATCCCCGTAGTTGTTCCTGATGATCCTATCATACAAAAATATGTAAGTCATTCATATTTCCTTCTCAATTGACCTTTTAGTGATATCCTGGGACCTGGAAGCAACTTACTTAAATTTACAACTTGCTAGGTTGTTGATGGAGTTGATGGGGTAATTTTACCCAAAAATAATCCTGAAGCTTTGCTAAATGCTTTCTCACGTCTGATATCCGAGGGAAATTTATCTAGATTCGCAAATTCTGTTGGATCCTCTGGAAGGCTGCGTGCAAAGAACATGTTTGCAAACGAATGCATCATTGCTTATGCAAATCTACTTGAATACGTCATTGATTTCCCATCAGATGTTCTGCTACCAAGTCGTGCTTCTCAGCTGAACAATAGTGTATGGGAATGGAGTTCCTTCACGAGGGAACTTGATAGAATATCTGGTAGCTACCAAAATAATTACCTTGATGATTCTTTTGGGATGAATTCAAGTATTGTTTATGACCTTGAGGAAGACATGGAAAATTACGTTATACTGAAAAATGTAACTCAGGGGCAATCTGAAAATCGGGAAGAGGATAACCCAACAATGTTGGACTGGGATATCTTGACCGAAATAGAAAGCTCTGAGGAAGTTGAGAGACTAGAAAGAGAGGAGGTATGGTAATTTTTCTGACTGATTAATGATATTTCCACCACATGTCCCTTCCCCCATCCCTCTGTGGTGCTCATTTATCTGAAGCATCATGTTACTTTCTGTAGATTGAGGAAAGAATGGAGAAAGACGTTGGTGAATGGGATGAGATTTACCGTAATGCACGAAAATCAGAAAAACTAAGGTTTGAATCTAACGAGAGAGACGAAGGTGAGCTAGAAAGAACTGGCCAGCCAGTGTGCATTTATGAGATTTACAGTGGTGCAGGGGGTTGGCCATTTCTGCACCACGGTTCACTATACCGTGGATTAAGTCTTGTAAGTTTTTCACTACTAGGTTGTTGCATTCTGATTAGTCTATGGCTCATTCTCTCTCTCTCTCTCTCTCTCTCTCTCTCTCTCTCTCTCTCTCTCTCTCTCTCTCTCTCTCTCTCTCTCTCTCTCTCTTTTAATGAAAGAACAAGGATGAAGCTGTAGTTGCCCTCGATTTTTGTTGACTACATTTTCCACTTGCATTACCGTAGACCTAATACGAGTTGGCCAAGCATTTTTTTACTTATTATTTTATGCACTAGTTGTCATTTCAATTAGTGTTTTTCTTCTTGCTTCCTTTGTCAGTTTACTAGATCCCGAAGATTGAGTTCAGATGATGTCGATGCAGTTAGTCGGCTTCCCATCTTGAACGATACATATTACCGTGACATCCTCTGTGAGATTGGAGGAATGTTTTCAATTGCTAATGGAATTGATGACATTCACAAGCGGCCCTGGATAGGTTTTCAATCATGGCGTGCTGCTGGAAGGAAGGTATCCATAAGGGCAATATTTTGCACCTTAATCTGTTTCCTGTTATATTAGGATTTAATATGGAAAATTGAGACCCTCTTGTATTCGCTACCTTCTGAGTAGTCTGCATGCATATTTTGCTTAAATTGCATGATCATGTCGTCAGGTTTCATTATCCAAAAAAGCAGAAGAGGTTCTAGAGAAAACAATACAAGAAAACACCAAAGGAGATGTGATATATTTCTGGGCATGCCTTGACACGGATGGGGGCATTATCGGAAATAATGATCAACTTACCTTTTGGTCCACCTGTGACATTATGAATGCTGGAAGGTGCCGGTGAGTTTTACCAGAAAAATAACTTTCGATTAGATAATTATCCTGTTGTTATCAACTCAAAGTTTGATGTGGGTCATCAATAATTTTAGTGAAATACTGAATATCACTTCTCATTCACCAAGAAAATTATAAGAGATCTTTATTAATTTGAAGTTGGATATGTCTTAATGCTTGTCAGTGTGACTTACCTCTGTTTCATTCGACATAAATTAATTGATTACTTCAGATTAACTTATCAACCAAGTTCTCTTTCAGATTCGAATGGTACCAGTGTTTCTTTATCGTAACTGTTGGATTCTTACTTAGCTACAAGATTATAAAATAATGGTCCTCGTTCCCCTTTTGTTTTGAAACCTATAGAACATCATTTGAAGATGCTTTCCGGAGAATGTATGGGTTACCATCGACTGTAGAAGCTCTTCCTCCCATGCCTGAAGGTGGTGGCCACTGGTCGGCACTGCACAGCTGGGTGATGCCAACCCCATCCTTTCTTGAGTTCATAATGTTTGCCAGGTACTTAAATGCGTGCAATATGACCCATAGTTTGAAATTAGTCAGACACATAATTTTAGGCTTTAAGGGTGTGTTTGTATATCAAAAAACTCAAACCATACTCAATTCATACTCAAAATCTAACTAAACTCAACTATCATCAATATTATCAATATAATTAAATAATACCAACCATTCATTCTTACACATCACATCAACTTTAGTTTACTATTCATCCACTCACATAATTTAACTAACTATCAACTTCACGTCATTTCCCTCTTACTTTTACTTTGACATCAAATCAACTTTTATTATTTTATTTTAGATATTATTTTAATATAAAATCAAATCCCACTAACACCTAACCATACCACTTTTTTGAAAAAATTAACTCTGGTTAACCCAGTCTACATGACCCCAGGATGTTTGTAGATTCTATTCACAGTCTACATGTCAACTCAGTTGAGCTGCCTGATTGTTTGCTAGGCTTTTCAGCACCAGAGGTGAGTTTATACAGACGTTAAATGCATATAATCGACTCTCCAGGAGTTTTTACTTTTTACAACAAAATAGTGTTCTCCTTAATGTTCAACTGTTCCTTTGTACAGAAGAAAAGCTGCTATTGCCGGCTTTCTGAAGTGTTGGTGAATGTATGGGCATATCATAGTGCACGGAAGATGGTTTACATTGATCCTCATTCAGGTGTTTTGAAAGAACAACACCCAATTGAACAGCGTAAAGGTTTTATGTGGGTGAAATATTTCAACATAACATTACTGAAAAGTATGGACGAAGACCTTGCAGAGGCTGCAGACGACAGTGACTATCCGTACAGTACATGGTTGTGGCCATCAACAGGGGAAGTTTACTGGCAAGGTGTGTATGAGAGGGAAAGGGAAGAAAGGTATAGGCTGAAAATGGACAAGAAGAGAAAAACCAAGGAAAAATTACTTGACCGGCTAAAGCATGGATACCGGCAAAAATCTCTGGCGGGATAGATTATATTTCTGACATTCAAAGAGGAAGGTTAACCAATTGCTCGATTTTTTTTGTTTTTGGTTTGGAGTTGAGAAAGGAGATTAGCTTTGTGAAAACACAAGGATTAGGTACCGAAGAGTACTTTTTTTGCTAACAAATGTCTTCTAACATTACAATCGCATGGAGGGCTGATGATGATGGTGGCTCGGAGATGTTCAGACTGTGGTTACCAGTATTTATATATTGATTTACAGATTGTACATATTATTATCCGTAATTGATTGAGAGCAAGCCCAATCCTTAGCAGAAAGAACAAAGAAATAGATAAAGAGCACAACATAATGTTATAGTTGCCAAAGTGCTTCGATTGGCTATCCCCAACCAGTGCTACTACTGTGCGTCCTGACACACCTAGCAAGGTGTGCCAAGGCAATTTAAAATGAACATTTTATGTCTTGGCACACCTTGCTAGGTGTGTCAGGAGGCACCTAAGTATTTGCGATCCCAACTGTCTTAAAAGTTACTGAGTAAAGTGAAACAAAAATTAAGATTCTTCTCTCTAGCCGTATGTGCTACTACTTTATAAGAATAGCATTATATTGAAGTTGTTATTTAATCGACCTGCTAGTCAGGGGTGGGTTATTTTTTTTAAAAAAATAATAAAAAATTTGTGGCAAAAATTTTTTTTTAAAAAAAAAGTTGTGGAAAAATATAAAACGGCCGGATTTTCGAAATCTATTTTTCTAGTTAAATTTTTATTAGAAAAACGGATTTTCAACATCCGTTTTTAGGATTTATTTATTTTTTTTTAAAAAAAAAACAAACGGTCGAATTTAAAAGAAAACGGTCGAACTAAAAATAGATTTTGAAAATCTGGTTTTATTAAAAAAAAAAACAAAAATGGATTTCGAGAATCCGTGTTTCGGTTGATATAAAAAGCTGAAAAATCCTCCCTCAACCACAGAAGTAATCCTTCACCATTTGTAAAATTATGCCTATATAATTAAGTCACTTAATCGACTGTAAATTCAATTATAATTATAGTAAAACTAGTATGTAACCCGTGCGATGCACGGGCTAGTACATGTTATGGAAAATTTTAAAAAATTAAAAGGTCATTAATTAATAAGTTATTATAATATGTATAACATTCATAAAGTAAACATAAAATCGTCATTGGTAAAAAGTTATACATTATTAAAAACCTCTTTATATACAACGTTATTAG